GTATGAGGAGAATGGGGTCAGAGGGTAGTGAGGGGGTGGGCACCAGGGAAAAAGGGGGCAGGGGTGGTGACGGAAGGGGGAAGCACCAGGAGGGTGCAGGGCTAAGGGAAGGTGCAGGTGCCAGGGGATTCTGGGGGTGAAGCAGAAGGGCAGACACCTGCAGGGGAGGGACCAGCACCAGAGGAGAGAGGCAGGGCAGGTGTGTAGCGGGAGGTGTTAGGAGAGGGGATGAGAAGGGGTATTTCACATGATCAGAGTGGGGCTACTGGAAGAGTGGGCACAGGGGGCAGAGAAGGGCTGATGGAGGGGGGCAGGCCTCAGGAAGGCTGAGGGCAGTGAGAAGGGCAGGAGTCAGGACAGCAGAGGCGGGTGAGGGGTTGGATTGCAGCAGGCACCAGGGGAGATGATGGAGCAAGGGGAGGAGACATGGCAGCAGAGGGAAAAGGTAGAGGTTTATGAGATACTTATTAATAACTTGGGTGCCACAGTGGCACATGCAAACAAGCCATATGAACTCAGTACTGGTGCACAACACAAAATTAATTCTGCTCATGGGAGGAAACTCTGAGGGAACACTCCCCCCAGCCTCTCTGCCGCCGAGTTAATGTCACACACATTGGGTTAATGCAACTGCAGGATAGTTGCATGAGGGGAGTTTGGTGAGAGCCAAATTAATCCCTGTTGGTAGGAGGATGGTGGGAAAAATCCTTAGAGGGGGGTCACATGACACCTTTTACTTCTGGTTATGTGCCCATCTTGCCCCCAGAGTGTTACCTCCAGAGGTGTGGCCAATGGGAGTCAGGGGGTGTGGCCAATGGGAGTCAGGGGTGTGGCTAATGGGGGTCAAAATACATTTTAAAAAAATTCTTTGGGTGCACACCCTAATGAAATGTGCTGTGCATGCCTATGTGTAGATGGCTGTTCTTGTGCAAAAAGCCTGCAGTGTAGACGTAGCCATCTATGTCCTGTCTCCTGGCAGCTCTTAAAGCTGCAGGCACCTGGGACAAACCTTGTGTCAAGAAGTCAGGCATGGGAGCTGCGCCTCAGCACACAGCTCTGACTGCCACCCACATTTGGGCCCATGGGCCAGGGGCACCTAATGGCATGCACCCTCCTGGTCCAGGGTGGGGATACTGTCCCTCCTGGAGCTCTGGGATGAGGAGGAGACCCTGCAGGAGCTCCACTCCCAGAGGCAAAACTCTGACATCTACAGACGAATGGCTGAGGCTCTGGGCGTGAGGGGATACCTCCTTCCCCTTCCCCCCGTGCATTAGAAGAGGGCTACCCCAGGGCCAAGGAGCGCAGTTCTCGCTCCGGGGAAGAACCCCTCTTCTACCCCTACTACCAGGAGCTCCACCAAATCCTGGGGAGTGGAGAAGCCCTTTCTCCACCCGTGGTGGTGGACTCTGGGCTAGAGATGCCCATCGTCACCCACCCAGAGCTCCCTACACAAGAAGAGGAGGAGGAGGACAATGAGCAGCTGCAGGAGGAGGAACTGGCCAGCACGGTCACCCTTACCTTGCAGCCAGTACCCTAGGCCCTGGATATCTCACAGACATCCTCTGAGGGTGGGGAGGGATCATGAGGCGAGTGCTCTCAGTTTGTCACACACACACAGGGCAGGGGAGGTGGGAGCAGAGGGGATGGGGTGCTATTGTCACTCAGACTGGACATTGTGCTGCACTGTGTGCACATGGAACCACGTGCAGTGCTAGTCTGTGCCACGCAGCCTCAGGAGGCAGTCCTGGAGCACCCCCGGGCTTCTGCTCACAGGCTCAGGGGAGGCCACACACAAGTCTGACCCCTGGGTGGGGGGACGCCCTCCCACAACCAGCCACCGCTGGAAGGAGGCTGGGCACAAGGGAGCAGGCAGACTGAGGTGTGCCGCACACAGTACATGGGCATGCCTGCCTGTGCAAGGCACCACCCGTTCCCGCAGACAGCACTGCCAGGTGCAGATGTGCGTGTGCTCCTCATGGAAGGCCAGGCTGCTCCAGGTCCCTCTCCCACCAATGAGATCCCACTGTGTCTGGACACTGCCCTTTCCTGCTTGTCCATGGGATGGGGGAGGGGGAGTGGGAAGCATGGTCCCCTGGGCACCTCAAGGCCCCTGGGAGGCAGGGCCCACTGCGCAGGCTACACATGGCCTTGCTCCTGGGACCTTCCCATCTTCTGGCCCGAGGACTGTTGCTTGCAGCTCACAGAGGAGGGCTCGGCCTCAGGGACAGTGTCTGCACTAATGACTGACCACCTCTCCCTCTTTATTCTCTATAGCTGGACCAGCTGTCGCTATGGGGTGATCCCATAGCGCCCAATCCCGGGGGAGCCGCAAGCGCACAAGGGTCCATGAGGACCTCATGAGGGAGCACCTGGCCATCCTACATGACATGCAGCAAACCCTGGCCCAGAAGGTCTGGGATGACACTAGTGGTGGGACCACATGTGGGACCAGCTTGTGTGATTTCCTACACTAGTTATACTACAGGGCTACGTCTAGACTGGCATGATTTTCCGGAAATGCTTTTAACGGAAAAGTTTTCCGTTAAAAGCATTTTCGGAAAAGCGCGTCTAGATTGGCAGGACGCTTTTCCGCAAAAGCACTTTTTGCGGAAAAGCGTCCCTGGCCAATCTAGATGCGCTTTTGCGCAAAAAAGCCCCGATCACCATTTTCGCGATCAGGGCTTTTTTGCGGAAAACAAATCTCAGCTGTCTACACTGGCCCTTTTGCACAAAAGTTTTGCGCAAAAGGGACTTTTGCCCGAAGGGGAGCAGCATAGTATTTCCGCAAGAAGCACTGATTTCAAACAGTAGAAAGTCAGTGCTTGTGTGGAAATTCAAGCAGCCAGTGTAGACAGCTGGCAAGTTTTTCCGGAAAAGCGGCTGATTTTCCGGAAAAACCGGCCAGTCTAGACATAGCCCAGTTGTTACTGGGTGTACACGTACCTGGCTCAACGCCATTCTTATCACGCTTATGGGCTGAGACCAAGGTCAAACTTGTTTAACCGCTTCTTAGTTTCCCAGCTTAAGGCCTGGGTTAGAACTGATAAAGTCCAGCTGCTGTTTGTGCTTGCAGCGTCCCACACTATGCTAAGCTGGGTACAGCAGGGATGGAAGCTTCCATCCTAGGCCTGCTAAGCTGCAGGCCCCACATATGACTTTCATGTGACAACTCCCTTCTGTTCCTCTCTGTCAACCTGCCTTTTCCTTTTATTATTCGTATGAGGACAAACACTTCTTTACATACCTAATTCCCCACTGCAAAAAGTCAGGCACCTCTCTTCCTGCTCTTAGAATGCGTGGGGCGCTAAACCGTCTCCTTACAACATAGGCAGGGGCATTCCTTTTTCAGATGTTCCCTCCTCCCACAGGCAGAACACTCTCTTGGCCAGGTTTCTTATCTCCTAACTATGAAAACACTTTTCTGTTCCTGCAGCCTTTGCAAATTTCTGCCCGGAGGACCCTATGCAAACGTTGTTGCTGTCCGGTCAACTTTGCCAAATAACCTTGCAGGCACAACTACATTTTTCATTGTCTCTGCTGGTTCTCTAGGGATGCATCTACACTGCAGTTAAAAACTGATGGCTGGCCAGTGCCAGCTGCGTTGGGATTTTGGGGGCGTGAGTGAAGGGCTATTTAACTGTGCTATAGACATTTGAGGTTGATCTCAAGCCTAGGCTCTAGGATCCTTCCCCATCACAGGGTCCCAGAGCTCAAGCTTTGGCATTGTAGAATCCCTCACACTTCTCAGGAATAACTGTCACGCCCATTTCTCCACTGAGTTGTAAGGGGGTTGCACTCACTGCTAGGGTACAACTTGACACGTGCACAACTCTACATAGTACTTTCATTATACCAATATAACTGTCCAAGCTGCCCTGTGTAGACAACATCTTGGTTTGTTATTAATGCATCCAATGTTAGCTATTCTTCTTGAGACAAGTGCCCACTCAAGACTACAATGAGGAACTGAGAAGGAAGAAGAGGAATATTGTTTCCAGTTTCTCTGTCTTTTATGTATGACACAGATCCGATAGGGAGCACTATCTATTTTTTTAAAGTATTTTCATAGTTTATATTTTTGAGTCACAAGAAAAAGGAAGGAGTGCCAGGGAAGTATTGACTTTATAATTTAAAAAAATCAGGCACGTGTATTTGCATCCTGCGTCTCTACTGGAGTGTAACTTACAGTTACACCAATCAGTAGATTGGAATATACCAGTAGATCTTGGAGCCTCTGATAGGTGATCCTGACTGTTTTGGCCAGGAAGCTATCAAGCACAGTACTTCAGTTGCCCCTTCACCCACTGTCATGCTGCTTCTGCTCTCTGACTTGGAGCTGCCCCCTGGGAGCCTCCTGCTTGTTGTGCACGGTGTGGGAGGGAAAAGAGGGGAGGCGCTGATGTCAGGGTGTCCCCCCTTCCCTCACTTCTGTACCCCATTTCCACACAGAGTGAAGGGGATGGAGGGAGCCTGACAATGCAAATCTCTGTCATTCTCACAAACGCACTGTCTTTTACTCTCATCTCCTGACCCAACACACACGTGGGGGGTTGTTCTTTTTTTTTACTGCTTGCCCCTGAGAGAGGCAGAGCACATGCTGTCCTTGCCTGCAGACACCATTCCTGCAGCTCCCATTGATCAGTAATGGTGAACATTGGCCAGTAGAAGATGTGGACTCAGTACTGTAGATGAAGGGCAGCACATGGAGTCATTGTTGTACATGCCAGCTGCTTTCAGGCGTGGTGCAAGGCCAGGGCAGAAGTGTTGGGCTTGTTTCTTACGTAATATAGCAAAGATTGTAATAACCGAGTAGTTTGGTTGGCATTTTGAATCCAAAGTTTATGTGCCATTCAGGCTCTGCCATAAAATCTTTACAAACGTCAAAAAACTTAAGTACAATTATTTCAGTCTAAAAGAAGCATTTCCTAACTGGCTCCCCTGTGAAAGCTTTCTCTCAGATCAGTCCAGATCTGGCAGCACAAGGTCTGGAACACTTTATCTGGGGATGGCACACAGCTTGTAGGGCTCTGGAGAATGTATGAGGACATAAGTTCCATCTTCCTTTGGCCTGGGGTGAACTTCTGGGATTTGGAAAGTGAAATGCTGCAAGAGAGTTGTGAAGAAGAGAAACAGCTCCTTCCTGGCCAGCTGCTCCCCCAGACACATACGGCGACCTATAAAAGAAAGAGTAAGGAAGGAGAAAGACGGAGACCCCAAAACAAAATAAGTATCTTCAATACCTGGAAAGATACTGGAGCAAATTATTAAACCATTAATTTATAAGCACCTGGTGGATAATAGAGGTATAAGGAATACAAAGCACAGATTTATTAAGAACAAATCATCCCAAACCAACTTAATTTCCTTCTTTGATTGGATTACTGGGTTAATGGATGGGAACAAGCAGAAGAAGTGATATACCTTGGTTTTAGTAAGGCTTTGGACACAGTGCTGCATGACATTCTTATAAGCAAACTAAAAAAATGTGGTCTAGGTGGGTGCACAACAGGTTGAAAGACCACACTCAAAGGCTATGTCTACATTAGGTTTTTTTTGTGGAAAGAGGCAATGCAAATGAAGCGCTCATTAGCATTTTCTCATGCTTCATTTGCATTATCTCGTCCGATGCTTTTTGCGCAAAAACTAGCAGTGTAGATGGATCTGTTTTGCACACAAAAAAATCTTTTGCGCAAGATCTGTATCCCTCCTTTATTGCAGCATAAGGATCTTGTGCAAAAGGGTTTTTTTGCGCAAAATGGATCCGTCTACACTGCTAGCTTTTGTGCAAAAACCTCTTGCGCAAAAAGCATCGGACGAGATAATGCAAATGAAGCATGAGAAAATGCTAATGAGTTTTTCATTTGCATTGCCTCTTCCTCAAAAAACCTAGTGTAGACATAGCCAAACTGTAGTTACCAATGGCTTGCTGTCATTACTGTGAGGGTATATCGAGTGGGGTCCTGCAGGGGTCAGTCCTGGGTCTTTTGCTATTCAATATTTTCCTTACTGACTTGGAAAACAGACTAGAGAGTCCGCTTATAAAACCTGCAGGTGACACCAAGCTGAAATAAATTGCAAGCACCTGTTGAAGAGCAGATTTAATTCAAAATGCCCTTGACAATTTGGAGAACTGAATTCAACAAGATGAGATTCAATAGAGACTAATTCAAAGTGTTTCACTTAGGAAGGAAAACTCAAATGCACAACAAACAAGTGGAGGAATCACTGTCAAGGTGGTAACACTGGTGAAAAGAATCTATGGCTCATAGTTGACCACAAACTACATATGAATTATCAGTGTGATGCAGCTGCAAAAAAAGCTAATGTGGTTCTGGGGTGTATTAACAGGCATGTTGTATGTAAGACACAGGAGGCCATGCCCTGCTCTGCTTGGCACTGGTGAGGTCTCAGTTGGAGAACTGTGTCCAATTCTGGGCACCACAGTTTAGGAGAGATGTGAACAAACTGGAAAGAGGCCAGAGGAGATCAACCAAAACGACCAAAGGTTTGGAAAACCTGAGCTGGGAGGAAAAGTTGACAAATGTGGGCTTGTATAGTCTTGAGAATAGGAGACTGAGGGCTGACCTGAAAACAGACTTCCACTATGTTAAAAGGTGTTCTAAAGAGGGTGGTGATCAATGGTGTTCTATGTGAAGGCAGGACAATAAGTCATGGCTTTAAGCTGCAGCAAGGGACATTTAGGTTAGATGCAAGGAAAACCTTTCTAAATACAAGGGTAGTTAAACTCTGCAGTAGGATTCCAAGAGAGGTCATGGAGTCCCCATCAGGAATGGCAAGGGGGAGGTACAGCAGGAGGTGTTGGGGGAGGAGGGAGAGCAGGGCAGGAAGAGGTAGAGCAAGATCAGGCACAGTTGGGGGAGGAGGTGGAACGGGGCAGGAGCAAGGTGGAGTTTAGCGGAAGTGGAAAGAGGAGGGTGGGTGGAGTTCACCGAGGGATGGATTAAGGGCAGGCCTTGGGGCAGAGCAGAGGTCAAGCACCCCAAAGGAAATCAGAAAGTCAGCACCATTGGTCTCTTCCCCCCAGAATCCTGTCCCCCATTCACTCTCCTCCTCTTCCTCTTCCTCCCTCCTGCTTACCTTTACATCTGATAAAAAGTGATGGAACCATGGCTCCCCTGTTCTGGGGCCCCGGTCCCCACCACTGGAAGTGTTTAAAAACAAGTTGGGCAAACACCGGTCAGAGAGGGTCTAGATTTACTTGGTCCTGCCACAGGGCAGGGGCCTGGACATAACGACTTCTTGACGTCCCTTCCAGACCTACTTTTTTATGATTCTAAGTCACTGAAGAAGCAGGACTCCCACCCAGGAACAATGAATTACATCAAAGGATCTTCTCCATTTCCCCTTCAGCAATATAGCATTGGTGGCCACAAACACCTAACTCTGGATAGCCAGAAATGCACGTATTGCCTCACTGGAACAGGCCTCTGGTCCATCTACTCCAGTATCCTCTCCCTGACAGTGATCAGTGCCAGATATTTCTAGGGAAAGTTCAAGAGACCCCGTAACGAGCAGTTAATATTTGGCTTATGCCCTTCAGCATGAGAACTGCTGCACTTTATTCATTTTAAAGAGAAAGACATCTGCGACTCCTTTCCACAGGGATGGCCTTTCCCAGCTGCTCCTCCCCTGGGACTTACCTGCAGAGAAAGGCAAGAAGGCCTCTCGCTTCACAAACTGCCCATCTGCATCCAGGAAGTGCTCTGGGTAGAACTGGTGAGGCTTCTCCCAAACCGTTTCATCCTTCAGCACCAAGGTCAAAGCCGTGATAATGATGGTGCCCTAAACATTGCCATTAACATCCCATAAAACAAACAAGCTAAATGTCAACTTTACCTTAGGCTTCCTTTTACTATAATCTACAGTGAACACAAAGCCAGGCAGTTCTCTGTCGCCTATCAATAAGGTTTGTGTATGTAAATGAAATTTCTACTTCTGTGACGGGGTGTGACTCACTACTGCAGCACCTCCTGTTGGCTGTGCTGGGTATTAACGATGTTTGATGGCTGTCTGGAGTACTTTCTGCCCTCCATCTACAAGGCAGTCAGACTTCCTCCCTCCTCAAGCTCAAGGGAATGACTCCAGCTGCTCTGTACTGTAGCTCTGATTATAGGGGTCTGCCTGGCCCCAACTGACTTCTCCTATAAGCTCTTCTGTGATTGGCTGCTTCCTGCACAGCCTCTCTAAGGCGCCCTGAGATCCCAGTGTGGGGCAGGCAGCCCATCACAACTTCCTTTAATATATTAGCAGAACAAAATTTCCTCCTACTCCAGAGATCTCCCTACACTTTCAAGCAAATGAATTATGTATAATGAGACTGAGTTGAATCTGTACAGCTGGATCTATTGGCAGAAATACAGCTGGCTGTGAGGTCCGAGTCCATTAGAATAGCACACTTCATAACCGGCCAGGCACGAAGTAATTAAGTATGCTAACAATCTACAGATGGGCTGCATGCATTTTCCAGGGGTCACAAGTGCTGTACCTTAGGGATGAAAAAGCCTTGAACTTCGGTGTCCCGGCATGTTGTGCGAGGCACTCCAGCAAAAACCGTATCACAATAACGCTGAATTTCATGGATCACAGCATTGGTGTAAGGCAAGTTCACTCGATCCTCTATCTCAGGAGACCTATCCCTGCCAATCACCGTATCAATTTCCTCATGGACTTTTCCTGGAAACACAGAAACATTGGGTGCGTCTAGACTGGCAAGATTTTGTGCAAACGCAGCTGCTTTTGCGCAAAAGCATCTGTGGCCAGTCTAGACGCGATTTTGCACAAGAAAGCCCCAATCGCCATTTTAGCCATTGGGGGGTTTTTGTGCAAAACAGTTCTTCCCTGTCTACACAGGCCCGCTTGTGCAAGTATTCTTGCACAAGAGGGCTTTTTCCCGAGCGGGAGCATGAAAGTATTTGTGCAAGAAGCACTGATTTTGTACATTACAAAGTCAGTGCTCTTGCGCAAATTCAAGCGGCCAGTGTAGACAGCTGGCAAGTTTTTGCGCAAAAGCATCTGTGGCCAGTCTAGACGCGATTTTGCACAAGAAAGCCCCAATCGCCATTTTAGCCATTGGGGGGTTTTTGTGCAAAACAGTTCTTCCCTGTCTACACAGGCCCGCTTGTGCAAGTATTCTTGCACAAGAGGGCTTTTTCCCGAGCGGGAGCATGAAAGTATTTGTGCAAGAAGCACTGATTTTGTACATTACAAAGTCAGTGCTCTTGCGCAAATTCAAGCGGCCAGTGTAGACAGCTGGCAAGTTTTTGCGCAAAAGCATCTGTGGCCAGTCTAGACGCGATTTTGCACAAGAAAGCCCCAATCGCCATTTTAGCCATTGGGGGGTTTTTGTGCAAAACAGTTCTTCCCTGTCTACACAGGCCCGCTTGTGCAAGTATTCTTGCACAAGAGGGCTTTTTCCCGAGCGGGAGCATGAAAGTATTTGTGCAAGAAGCACTGATTTTGTACATTACAAAGTCAGTGCTCTTGCGCAAATTCAAGCGGCCAGTGTAGACAGCTGGCAAGTTTTTGCGCAAAAGCATCTGTGGCCAGTCTAGACGCGATTTTGCACAAGAAAGCCCCAATCGCCATTTTAGCCATTGGGGGGTTTTTGTGCAAAACAGTTCTTCCCTGTCTACACAGGCCCGCTTGTGCAAGTATTCTTGCACAAGAGGGCTTTTTCCCGAGCGGGAGCATGAAAGTATTTGTGCAAGAAGCACTGATTTTGTACATTACAAAGTCAGTGCTCTTGCGCAAATTCAAGCGGCCAGTGTAGACAGCTGGCAAGTTTTTGCGCAAAAGCACTTTTTGTGCAAAAGCATCTTTGCCAATCTAGACACTCTTTTGTGGAAATCCTTTTAACGGAAAACCTTTTCCGTTAAAAGTATTTCCGCAAAATCATGCCAGTCTAGATGCCGCCATTATGTATAGCAGGGAGTATAACAAGAGTAGATGTAATAGACTACGAAGGACCTGATCCATTAAAATCAACTGAAACATTCTTTTAGTTTCATGTCTAAAGAGGTCCTCAACCAACAGTGGGGAATAAGCAGGAGCGAGTTAGCTTGAGGAGGACGCTGGCCTTTGTGTGGGGGACAGTGAAGGAGGAAGAGGACCAGGAGAACATGCAGATGGTCCCCCGCCAGAGGAGTGGCTGACAAGTGTGTGTGGAGGGATGTGGCTCTGTTTTGGCAGAGGCAGCAAAGAAGGGTGGGAAAGCGAGTAGTCAAGAAGTTAACTCGACTACCTGATTAGCTTAGGGTTATAGGGTAGTTGACTACTCGCTTATATCCCCACTCTCTGTGCCACATGGTGTGAGGGAGCAGTGGATCTCTGTATGCAGAGATCCACTGCTCCCCTCCCCTCAAGAAGCTCACAGAGACACATTTGCCAGCAGCAGCCAGATGCTTTGAGTGGTGTGGGGCACCATGGCATTGAGCCTGCCTCCCTGAGTGACCTGCTGCCTTGCCAGACAGGAGCCACTTCTGGTAAGTGCCTCCCAGCCAGGGCCAAAGCCTTCATCTCGCACCCCCTCCTGCACTCCATTCCCTACCTCAGGTCAGAACCCCCTCCTGGACCCAAACTCCCTCCCAGACCCCACATCACCTTGTGCACCCCAACCCCCTGCCTGGAGCTCCCTCCTGTACCCAAATCCATCCCAAACTCCACACCTCCTCCATTAACATCATAGAAAAGTGAGGCCCATGATCACTGGACAAAATTCTTGGAGTAGCTCCTGGCAAAAATTATAGCCCACTCCTGCTACAAATGTATGGGTACGTCTACACTACAACGCTAATTCGAACTAACTTAGTTCGAATTAGTTAATTCGAACTAAGCTAATTCGAACTAACGCGTCTAGACCTA